AGTGAACAAAATAGACAATACCCCTTGTGTTCGCAGAGCTTACACTCTACAAGAGGGGGAACATAGTGAATGAGATAAAGAAATAAGAATATATGACTATCTGTCAGATGCTGATGAGCGCTAAGGACAAAAAGCCCATCAGGGAAGATTTGAAATTGAGCATGTGAAACGGGGCACGTTGACACTTTAAACAGGGCGACCATGAGAACTTCACTCAGAAGTTGCTGTTTGACTCTTTAAAAGCAAGACAACAGGCCCCAAATGGAGTCACTTGTGGTGAGTCCCATGTCACCAAACTGAGACTTAACTTAGTTACAGTTTTCGGCTCTCCCAGAAATGGAATATTAAACCACTCAATCAGCAGTCACCTGATCAGCACTAGTTAGATCATCTGCCACCCCCTAAAGGAAGGCGACCTTGTAATTACCAACCAGAGTTTTTGTCTAGTATAATTTCCTTGTTCCTGCTCCCTTTAGCCTATAAAAGTCTTTCATATTGTACAGCTCCTCAGAGCTCCTTTCCATCTGCTAGATGGGATGCTGCCTGATTCATGAATTACTGAACAAAGCCAATAAGATCTTTAATATTTATTTTGTTCAACAGACTGAAGGGAGCAAGAAAGTGAATTATAGCATTTCTGGGAAAAGAGTGCGAGGGGGCAGGTTCTCTCTCTCTCTCTCTCTGCCCACCCCCCCACCCCCTTTCCACACACAACCCCTTGCTCTCTCTCCTGAGACCCTCTCTGGCCACAGCTCAGCTCATGACAGGGCTCCCCCTCAAACTCTGGACCCCATTCTGATTCCAGCCCCCGTCGCTGTGCCCTCAGCCCCACCCAGACCCCTGCCCCTGCCCCTGCCCAGGAACCCAGCCTCTCCCTGCACCCACCCCTCTGGCCTGATGACCCAGTGGCTCCTCTGTGTCCCTCTGAGGAAAGCTCAGCCCCAGCCACACACATTCCAAGCCTAGTTCCAGCATCTCTACCCCCCACCCCCACAAACGGAGGAGGGCCATGATAGGAAACTTTTGTGAGTAAGAATAAATAAGAATAAGAGTAGCTAAGGCAGAAGGGCTTGCTACCACCTGCCACTGCTTTGAGCACGAAATGTCCCTGGTCTCCACCACCAACAGCCCTCTGTCCCGGCCACCACGTGTCTGGTCTGGTCAGAACAGTGGCCTCCTCTCTGCTTATTCTTTTTGCCTTCCCCCAACCCATTCCTCACACAGAATTTTGAGATTTCCTTCTGAAACATAGCTTAGATCACATCACTCTCTTATGGAAGAGTCCAGGGGCCTGCCATCATATACAGTCCGCTGCAGCTCCGCACCCCATCATCCTCACCCTCTGACCTCAGCTCTCTGCTCTCCCTCCCACTCACAGCATGTCAGCCATGCTGGTTCCTTCCCTTTCCTCAGGCACACCCTGCCTGGGACCTTTGCTTCTACCTGGAACACCCTTACCCTGATCTGCAGCCTTTTTTGGTCATTTAGGTCCCAGCAAAAACACCAGCTCCTCCGAGGAAGGGTCTTCCCAGGCCGCTCTGTCCCCCCATCGCCACCTCTGCCTCCAGCACTCTTGGCGACATCACCCCTGTTTGCTTCAAATCCTGTATTATTCTTTCTGAGTATCCAGTGTGTATGTTTCTAAACTTCTTCATGTGAGGGTCTTTGTTCACAGCTGTTTCCCCACCCCCTAGAACAGTGCCTGGTCCAGATCTGGAGCTTAGTGAATGTTTTTGAATTTATGAATGAACAAAAGGACCTAATTTAATTCTCACACAAACCCCACAGTTCATTTCAGTGATTTTCAACCATGACTGCACATTAGGATCTCTTGGGGAACCTCAAAAAAATACTGATGCTCAAGCCCAAACATTCTAGGTTCTGATTTCATTCGTCTGTATGGGGTGAGTCGGGCACCTTTCTTTTTTAAAGCCCCTCAGGTAATACTAATGTGTAGCCATCTACACAGTAAACTACACTTAAATTTGTAACCACCTTGGCAGAAGGAAGGCGGCCTGGGCAGGGCCCCGTCGTCAGAATTGCCATTTTCACTCAAGCGCATACCTGTAGGAAGCCTAGTTACACTCAGACCTGCTGGGGCCCAGCTAGGCAGCAAACTCCAGGGCACTTGAGGAGGGAAGTCAGGTCGTGGCCTGAAGAGCAGGCTCCTGGCTTCCCTTTGCGACAGAGAAGGAGCCACAGGCCGCTGGGTGTTATAAAGAAATCCAGAGGCAGAAATGAAGTCCCTCTTTCCTGGACACACTGGGGCTGCAACAGCCTGAGCAGCAGTGTTCCAAGTTCTGGGGTTCTGGAGGACCAGGGTGGCCCTGGGGAAGAATGACCATTGTTGGGTAAGAAGACCCTGCCCTGCCTTTGCTGAGAGGAGCGTGCCCAAGGACAGGGGTGGGGCTGGAGGTCACAGGGGGCATCAGGAACAAAACACACCCTGGGGTGCTGGGAGTGGCACAGGAGGAGGGGCTCAGAACTTGGTGCCTAAACATTAGAATTGGAATCCCAGCTCCGTCCCTAATCAGCTATGTGGCCTTGGACATGTCACTGACCCTTTCTGAGTCATTTTCTCACGTGTAAAATGGTTGAACTCACAGGGCTGTCGGAAGGGTTAGCCAAGCTGACATGAGCCAAGTGAGCGCAGGGTACCCCGAGGGCAGAAAGCCGGCCCTCGTCCCACCTCCTAGCCTCTGTCCCACTCCCTGCTCCAGCCACACTGGCCTTCCTGTCGTTCCTCCAGTGTGACAGTCACACTCCCACCTCAGGGGCACTTGTGGTTTCCTCTGCTGACAGCTCTTCACCCAGGTGTATTCAGGTTTACTCTCTCAATCTCCTGCAAGTCTTTGCTCAAATATCACTTCCTCAGGCTGGGTCTTTCCGATCACTTTGCTTAAAACGATTAACTTCCCCAACCCACTCTCGGGTACTTTCTGTCTCTTTCTCGGCTTTATTTTTCTTCACAGGACCTTCTAAATTCCTTATAATTTACTTTGCCTAGCAGGTAACAGATGCTCCAGAATCTTTGTTGAATGACTAAACGGAAGGCAGTTATTGTTATTGTTAGCATCATCATCATTTTTGTCAGTCTACAGCTCCCCCCCCACCCCCGCCCCAGTTCTGTGCTGCCTGATTCTTACCAAATACTGATGGACAGCAGTGATGTTGAGACCAGGCTGCCTGAAGAGCAGGTCATCTGTCCATCCACCTCCCTGAGAGTAGAGATTGTATCTTTAGATATGGCTGCAGATTTGCAGATGAGAATGGTTGCCTGGGACCCAGTAGAGAGGTCTGGGCACTGAGGGGAAATGGAATTTGAAGGCCAAAGAGATGATTCTCTGTGGCCACGCTTGGTGGGGAGGGAGAGGAGCTGCTGCCTCCATGGAAATGGGCCACCCTGGCCTGGCCAGGAAATGAGCCAGAGGCACAGGGGAACAAAACACAGCAGAGGGCCAACACCCAGTGTGTTGCTAACTACTGCAGAGCGAGGAGGCTGATACGTAAGCATCCTCTCCATGAGGCACCCATAGCCTCTCTTCCATCGGAAGGATTCTGAGCCACTTCTAAGGATAGGTAAGGAAGGTGCTCTGAAGAGTAAGTGAGCCTGGAGTTCCCACAGATCCTGGAGACTGAGAGCTTACGCCAGCCTAGGTTTGATTCTGAGGAGAAAAAAACAAACAAACTTTGTACCTAGAATGCTGGAGGTCAGTTTTCACCTCCTACACATAGCAATGTCTGGCAGATAAAAACTGTTCACTAACTTTTAGTTCTCATTTACTCTTCACTGGCTCAGTAAATATTTACTGAACTCTCACTATGTGGCAGGGCACTGTCCTGAAGATAGAGCTGTACTGAAAATCTAAGATCTCCGTCCTTGTGGAGTTTATATTCTAGCGTACATGTGTGGCAGGGGACGGATGACACAGTGAGTTAATAGAAAATATTGAACAGCAAGTATAAGAGGTGATGGTTGTATTAATTAGCTTAACTGCATAATGTACATGTCGTATACCTTAAATATATGGAATTTTATCTGTCAATCATACCACAATAAAACTGGAAAAAAATTAATTTTTTTTTTTTTTTTTTTTATAAAATACATTGGATGAACGCTAAGGAGGAAAATCAAGGAGAGAAGGGAGGGTGGGAAGTGTCAGATGGGAGAAGGTTCTAGTTGGGGTTGGGGCGGTGGCCCAAGGCACACTGAATAGGGCCTGTGTGTGAGTGGTGAGGCAGTGAACCGTGTGGAAGGAACGTCCTGGCAGAGAAGCCAACAAGGACAAAGGCTTGAAGCAGCACTGGCTGGAGCCAGCTCACAGGGGCGTACCAGGGACCATTAGTAATCAGGAATTTTGCAAGCCACTTGTTAAAACTTTGGTTGTTTGAAATTGGCCTGGCCACCATGGGACTATTTAACCGCAGATATAGGCAAACACTGTGAGACAGGATCTTTTTTGCTGTTCTCAGAGATTCAGTTTACCAGCAGCAGGGAGAACAAAGGGCAGGCAGACCAGTGCAGTGTGGCTGGAGCAGAGCTAGGAGGTGGGTAGGAGTGGAGAGCCAGGAAATCATGTAGGGCCTTGCAGACTGCTCTTGGAACATTGGCTTGGACTGTGAGCCAGATAGTGGGCCATAGGAGGCTTACAAAAAAAAAAAATTTTTTTTTAGGTTTAATTTTACATACCATAAATTCATTCAAATATGCCATCATCATCATCGTTATTATTATTATCGGTAGTAGTAATACATTTACAGATTTGTGCAGCCATGACCACAGTCCAAATTTAAAACATTTCTGTCACCTCAAAGAGAGCCTTTGTGTCCATTTGTAGTCATTCCCTGTTCACATACCCAGCCCCAGGCAACTACTAATCTACTTTCTGTCTATATGCATTGGAGGCTTTGGAGGAGAAAAGGAACATGGTTAGCTTATGTTATTGTTACTATTGTATCCTTTCCGGTAAAACATAATGAAATTCCTGTTCTCTCTTCAGATGAGGTGGTGACCTGAATTTTCAGGGAAGACGTCCACCAGAGCCACCGCGAGCTGTGAGAAATAGTTTGGCGGGGCCGCTCGCGCTGGCTCCAAGCGAGCTGGCCAGTTGAAGCCACTGTGTCCTCTGCTGGCTTCCGGCTCTTCTCTCTCTTGGCTGCATTTGGGGCCAAAGTTCCAGGTGGGAGGTCAAGTCAGCAAATTGCCTTCTCCAGTGTCCTGGAGGAACTTGAATGTTTAAGGCCTGCATTCAGCTGAAACAGAACGTTGAAGCCCTTTTGCATTTCTTGGGTTCAAGAGCAAGGTAATGTAGAGAGAAATCTTTTCAAGGACAGGTGTCAGCTGCCTCTGAGGCCTTTGCTGCTTCAAACAAGGGGCATGCCTGAAATGGCCTTGGGTTAGCAGGGAGGCCAGGGGATTCTAATTATCAGCTGTCAAGGGGCAGAGGAATCGAGGGGAGGGAGGCAGAGGAAAAGGCTTGGGGCAGAGTTGAGGGGAGGGGAGGAGTGGGGGAGGGTCAGAGAAGGGGAGTCTGAGGCCCCAGAGCTGGTAGCCACAACAGAGGCCGGGGCCTAGGCATTTCTGGGAAGTGAGACCTGCGAGTCGCTTGTCCTCTTAAAACCTGACTTTCTTTATCTGTAAAACAGAGAAAATAGCATTTATATCATAGAGTTGTTGGAAGGATTTAAGGAAATAACATCTACAAAGCTTGGTACACGGTAAGCCTTCTGTAGATGGCGATTATTTTTGTTTTTCTCGTTATTGCGACACATTATTATTGTTGGTTACTGTCTTAGTCTGTTTGGGCAGCTGTGGTTTAAACAACATTTATTTCTCACAGTTCTAGGGACTGGGAATTCCAAGATCAAATTGCAGCAGGCAGATTCGTGTCTGCTGAGAGCCCACTTCTGGTTCATAGACGCCGTCTTTTTGCTCTGTCCTCCCCATGCAGAAGGAGCAAGCCAGCTCTCTGAGGTCTCAGGACCTAATCACCTCCCAAAGGCCCCCACCTCCTGCTACGATCACATTGGGGGTTAGGATTTAAGAAAAGAATCTGGGGGAAGCTCAAACTTTTAATCTCTGGCAGTTACAGTACCATATCCTGTTGTTATTATTATGACCAAGAGGAAATTGGTGGAAAGAACCTGCATCTGCTTCTCAGTGCTCTTTAAACAAAGCGCACACAACTCCCTCGGGCTCCTGTTGAAGTGCAGAGTCTAATTCCACGTGTCTGGGGTGGGGTCTGGGGTTCTGCAGGTATCACAAGCTCCCAGGTGATGCTGATGCTGCTGTCCCATAGACCAGACTTTGAACAGCAGGACACTGAGACTGCCCTGTCCAATACGGTAGCCACTAGCCACCTACGGCTGTTGAGCCCTTGGTATGTGGCTAGTCCAAACTGAGGTGTGCGCTAAGTGTGAAATAAATGTTGGATTGTGAGGACTTAGTACAAAAAAAAAAAAAAAAAAAGAACGTAAAATCTCTCTTTAGTAGTTTCTTTTTACATTGATTACATGTTGAAATTATAGGATATAAGCGGTGCTGACCAAGAAAAGAGGGAAAGCTAAAATAAAAAGAAAAGAAAACGTTTATTTGGGGTCTCAGAATTGCCATTCAGAGAACACAGATTTGGGCAGCAACTCAAATAGTGCCACCCACCCCCACCCCCTACTCCAGGGAACAAAAGGCAAGGTTTGTTTTTGTTTTAAGAGAGAGGGGAAGTGGTCAGGAGAAGGAGAAAGAGAATCTTAAATAGGCTTACACCCAGCATGGAGCCACTGCAGGGGGCCAAGGCAGGGCTTGATCTCATGACCCTGAGATCATGACCTGAGCTGGAATCAAGAGTCCGACGCTTAACCGATGGAGCCCCCCAGGTGCCCCCCAAAGCATGGGTTTTTAAAGACAAAAGGGAATGTTTGTATATGTTGCTTACAAAGAATTTTGATTGATGTTGGTGGCAGAAAACTAATCTTGACTGAATATAATTGATGGCTAAGGCTATCACTAAAGTCTCCTACTGTAACAAGTTGCAGGTATTCAGGCTGAGTCCTTGGAATATCTGGTTTGGCACAGTTCAAAAGTTCATGGTTCTACTGGTGAGGAGCCCACTTCCCTCATGGCTCATTTTAAAACCCCTTGACATATATGACCCCATTTTATTTCATCTTTCATACTGGCTAAGTAAAATATTATTTTAATTCATTTCACCTGTTTCTTTTAATTTTTTTTTTTTTGAATGAAGCTACTAGAAAATTGTACATTACGGGTGTGGCTCACATTACATTTCCATTGGATAGTGTTGCCCTAGAGCTTTCTTTGGCTTTGTCAGGCCAGTTCAGGATTTACCTTGGGAAAGTGGGCTTGGGAAGCCTTGAGAAGTGGGCTCTGAGACCCACAGAGATCCATAGGCAGTGAGAGGTGGAAGGGATGGCTCTCAGGCTCAGAGAGAAGAAATGATCAAAATCACACGGTGGATTTAAGACTAAGGCCCAAGACTATGTTTACAAGTCAGTGTGTACTGTAGTCACCATTGGGGCTGACTACAGGTTTCTCCTCCAGCTCAATCTCTCCACAGAGCCCAGAATTCAGGATCGTGTTCTCTCTCTTCTCTTTGGTGACAGGCTGCAGGCAATAACATGATGCCATGGCTAAGAGGATGGGTCCTCAAGGTGCTGAGAAGTGCCCGGGGATTCTGTGGGCCTCACGGGCAGCAACCACCTCTCCCTGACCCTCAGAAAATTGTGGCCACCTGGGAAGCCATCAGCCTGGGGAGGCAGCCAGTGCCTGAGTACTTGAACTTTGCCCATGATGTGCTGGACATGTGGAGTCAGCTGGAAAAGGTGAAGCCCACTGTGTCCTAGTGTCCCTCTTGGGCCTCAGAGGCTGCCCTCAGTTACCGCAGTGTGACTAAAGGCTACAACACAGGTGAGCATTTTGACCTGGGAATTTTGCAAGTCCTAAAACTTAAATGGTTAGCATTTAAGCCTTAGGGAGAAAAAAGAATTATGACCAAGTTTCGTGAGCCTTAGACACTTAGCCCAATCCCTGATGTGTCTCATATTCCTGAACACAAATCACATAGTTGAGACAATTATGCCTTTGATTCCCTTCCCATCATTCTGATCAAGCAAAAGAGAAAATTCTGTTCTGATTCTACTCTTCGTTAATATTTCTCCCACTGTTGTGTACTTCCCTTTTTTCTGAGAGAGAGAGCACAGAGGTGAGGGGCAGAGGGAGAGGGAGAGAGAGAATCTTAAGAAGGCTCCACACCCCGTGTGGAGCCCACATGGGGCTCAATCTCACGACCCTGAGATCATGACCTGAGCTGAAATCAAGAGTCAGATACCTAACTGACTGAGTCACCCAGGTGTCCCTGGACTTCCCTTTTAAATAAGGAGAGAGCATGGCTGAGGCTCAAAGCTTTTTCCAGATCACAGCAGATATGTAGAATTGAATTAAAATCATCTTGATTTCTTTGTGTGTCTCTGAGCATATACTTCCTTTTTTTCCCCTCTTCTTTAGGTGTCTGCTGTGTATCTCTCTGTATTTTATAGTCACTTTTTATTTATGTTAAAGATGCTAACCTTTTATTTTATAGTAGGAGACTATAAACTTTATCTCAACACAATTTACTTATGTTAATTTTAAGAAGAGCTTGTATAAAGAAAAACAATGAAGAAAATAATACTATTAGTAGATTCAGTAAAAGTATACTGTTAGTCGATATAGTAAAGTATGAAGGTGGCTTTGTAGTCAGATAGACATGGTTCCTTGTACAAATGCCCTGAGCTCTTTGGATCTCAATTTTCTCATCTGTAAAATGGAAGTCATACCATCTGCCACCGGGAGTTGTTGTGAGAATAAAATGAGAAGCGTGTGTAAGAGATGGAGCTGGGGTGCCCCATTCCTGTCTACAAAATCTGAGCTCTTTTCCCACACTGGGATCGTCCTTGGAGGACTTCTCCTAAAGATAAATACAAATAGGCTTATATCAGCAAGAATGGTGGAATAAGGACTTTCTAAAATTTTATCTTCTCTAAAAACAACAACAATAAAAAACCTTGGAAAAATTGCCAGAATCTACTTCTTAGAACTCTGGAAATTAACCAAAGGGTGGTCTAGCTCAGGGAGTGTTTATTAAAGAAGCACTCATTAAAGATTTGGGTGAATCTCAGAATGCTCCTGAGATATTACCTTGTTATGCAAAAGTAACGTATCCCTTAGTGACAATTTTGGGAAAAGTCTAAAACACATCTGAGGAAGTTCAACTTTCAGAAACAGGAACCACCAGAAAATATTAGCCTCTCCATTATGTATGCATTTAGCCCTCACTGAAGTCTGCCCTTGACAAAATTGAACTGTACATTTTTTAGACTTGATTGCCATTGAAGGAGAAATTATAAAGTTGCAAAAAAATGATTACATATCCCAAATTGATCTAGATACTCAAAGTAATCTTTATTAAAATCCCAGTAGACTTCTTTGCAGAAATAGATAAGCTTGTCCAAAGTTTCACGTGGAAAGACAAGGGACCCATAATAACCACATCAGTGTTGATAAACACAACAGGACTCACACTTCCCTATTTCAAAACCTACTACTAAGTGACAGTAATAAAGCCTGTATGAGAAAAAAAAAGGCACTGTGACACTGGTAAAAAGATAGATATGGATGAATGGGATAGAATTGAGAGTCCAGAAATAAACCCATAAATCTATGGGTCAGTTGATTTTCAACAAAGGTGCCAGTAAATTCAAGGGGGAAAGAATCATCTTTCCAGGGCGCCTGGGTGGCTCAGTTGGTTAAGCGACTGCCTTCGGATCAGGTCATGATCCTGGAGTCCTGGGATCGAGTCCCACATCGGGCTTCCGGCTCAGCGGGGGAGCCTGCTTCTCCCTCTGACCCTCTCCCCTCTCATGCTGTTTCTCTCTCGCTTGCTCTCTAATAAATAAATAAATAAAATCTTTAAAAAAAAAATCATCTTTCCAGCTAGTGGTGCTGGCACATATTATATGATTCCATTCGTATGAAATATCCAGAATAGGTAAATCCATAGAGACAAAAAGTAGATTAGTGGTTGCCAAGGGCTAAGGAGAGGGGGGAATAGGGAGTGCCTGCTAATCTGTATGGTATTTCTTTTTAGGATAATGAAAATGTTCTGAAATTAGGTTGTGGCAATGATTATACCACTTTGTGAATATACTAAAAACCATTGAATTGACCTTAAGGGTTCCCTATTGAGAATGATATTCGCTGTGGGCTTTTCATAGATGGCTTTTATGATATTGAGGTGTGTTCCTTCTATCCCTACACTCTGAAGAGTTTTAATCAAGAAAGGATGCTGTATTTTGTCAAATGCTTTTTCTGCATCAATTGAGAGGACCATATGGTTCTTGTCTTTTATTAATGTGATCTATCACATTGATTGATTTGCGAATATTGAACCACCCTTGCATCCCATGAATAAATCCCACCTGGTCGTAATGGATAATCCTTTTAATGGACTGTTGGATCCTATTGGCTAGGATCTTGTTGAGTATTTTGGCATCCGTGTTCATCAGGGATATTGGTCTGTAATTTTCCTTTTTGATGGGGTCTTTGCCTGGTTTTGGGATCATGGTAATGCTGGCTTCATCGAACAAGTTTGGAAGTTTTCCTTCTATTTCTATTTTTTGAAATAGCTTCAGTAGAATAGGTATTACTTCTTCTTTAAATGTTTGGTAGAATTCCCCTGGGAAGCCATCTGGCCCTGGACTCTTGCTTATTGGGAGGTTTTTGATTACTGCTTCAATTTCGTTACTGGTTATTGGTCTATTCAGATTGTCTATTTCTTCCTGTTTCAGTCTTGGCAGTTTATAAGTTTCCAGGAAAGCGTCCATTTCTTCCACGTTGCTTAATTTGTTGGCATATAGTTGCTGGTAATAATTTCTAATAACTGTTTCTATTTCCTTGGTGTTAGTCGTGATCTCTCCCCTTTCATCCATGATTTTATTAATTTGGGTCCTTTCCCTTTTCTTTTGAATAAGTCTGGCTAGAGGTTTATCGATCTTATTGATTCTTTCAAAGAACCAACTTCTAGTTTTATTGATTTGTTCTACTCTTTTTCTGGTTTCTATTTCATTGATATCTGCTCTAATCTTTATTATTTCTCTTCTCTTGCTCGGTTTAGGCTTTATTTGCTGTTCTTTCTCCAGCTCTTTTAGGTGTAAGGTTAGCTTGTGCATTTGGGATTTTTCTACTTTTTTGAGAGAGGCTTGGATGGCTATGTATTTCCCTCTTAGGACAGCCTTTGCAGTATCCCATAGATTTTGGACCGATGTGCTTTCATTCTCATTAGTTTCCATGAATTGTTTAAGTTCTTTAATTTCCTGGTTGACCCAATCATTCTTTAGCAGAATGCTCTTTAACTTCCAAGTGTTTGAATTCCTTCCAAATTTTTCTTGTGATTGAGTTCCAGTTTCAAAGCATTGTGGTCTGCTAACAGGCAGGGAATAATCTCAATCTTTTGATATCTGCTGAGACCTGATTTGTAACTCAGTATGTGGTCCATTCTGGAGAAAGTTCCGTGTGCACTCAAGAAGAATGAGTATTCTGTTGTTTCAGGATGGAATGTTCTGTATATATCTACAAAGTCCATCTGGTCCAATATGTCATTCAAAGCTCTTGTTTCTTTGTTGATCTTTTGCTTAGAGATCTGTCCATTGATGAGAGGGGAGTGTTGAGGTCTCCTACTATTAATGTATTATTATCAATATGTTTCTTTATTTTGGTTATTAATTGGTTTATATAATTGGCTGCTCCCATGTTGGGGGCATAGATATTTATAATTGTTAGATCTTCTTGTATCATTGAACACTACATCAGAAACTAATGATGTACTATATGTTGGCTAACAGAACATAATTAGAAAATTTAAAAAATAAAGCAAAAAAACCCATTGTAAGTTGAAAATATCATAATTGGAAAATGCATTTAATACACCTAACCTACTGAGCATCATAGCATAGCCTCGCCTACTTTCAACATGCTCAGAACACTTATGTTAGTTAGATGGCAAAACTATCTAACACAAAGGCTACTTTATAATAAAGTGTTAAAAATCTCAAAAAAAAAACCCCATTAAATCGTGCACTTCAGAATAGTGAATTTTATGGCATGAGAATTATATCTCAAGAAGAGAGGAGGATACAGAACAGTATGAATCATATGCTACCTTTTGCATTAAAAAGGTGGTACAGAAAACAGAATATACTTACTGTTTGCCTGAAGAAACACTGAATGGATATGCAAGAAACTAATAATATTGGTTACACATTGAGGCAGGTGAAGTGGAGAACAGGATAGATGGGCGCAAGGATGGGAGTAAGCCTTCTCAATGCATCTTTTTGTTGTTTTGAATTGGAACCCGGTGACTGTAATAACTACAGAAAAATAAAATTAAAAAAAACAACAAGCAAACAAAAATCCTCAACAAATGTTTTCTATTTCTTTTCTGCCTACACTGCTGTCTAGGCTGGGCACCGGCCCCGGATCCCCGCATTCTGGTGGGTCAATGGCAAGGGAACAGAGGTCAAGTGGAACTTTGAGAAGCTGGGGGAGCAGTCCAGGAATGTGGCTAATGTGCTCCAGGACATGTGTGGCCTTCAGCCTGGGGACAGGATGATGCTGGTGCTCCCGCGGCTCCCAGAGTGGTGGCTGGTCAGCGTGGCATGCATACGGACAGGTCAGTGAGCGGGGCTGAGACTACCATTTGGGGTGGACACATCTGCCAGAGTTTTGCATAGTCCACATGGTTTGGGAGATGGAACAAAGAGAACCGTGTGGAGTTTTGTTTACCTCCCCTTTGCCCCACAATCACAAATTTGAGCACAAGGGTCAGATGGTAATGTAACTGATGAAAGTAGGTCAGTGTGAGGCAGTAGGGAGCAGTGGGGACTGCAGTAAACTGGAGCTCACAGGGACAAGTGCTTCTCGACCCAGCCAGATGTTTCCAGGTGTGAAGGAGGGACAGTATTGCCAGCACTTCTGACTTTGTGATAGAAAACTGGATTTTTATGAAAAAAAAAAACAAAAAACAAAAAAAACAACTTCTGATCTTTTACTGTTGAGAACTAAATAAACTTTTAAAAAATTCTGAGTAGACAAACCAAACATATTTTTTTTGCTGGTTTTGGTTTAGAAGCCACTAGTGTGTGAAGAGTAATGCAGTTATGGATAAGAGATCTTCATAATCAATCTACATTAGTTTCACTCTTAGACTTTATGGCTCTCACCACCGCAGCATCTACCAGCTCCCAAGGGAAAGAAGAGAAGGACAAAATAATCAAAGCAATAAGATTAGCCCTTGAGGGTTCCTCCTCCTGCTGTTATGAATGGCCAAGGCAGTGGGCCATTGATCTTCCTGGGATGATTCTTCCAGCAGAGGAGGCAAAAGGACAGTCCATAGAACTCAGAGAGCCTCTGCTGACCCTGTCTGATGCTCTTATTGGGAGGGCTGGGCGTTTTTTTTGCTGATTTTACAAAAGCAAGACAACTACTTTTGGTGGAGAGCTGGTTTCTCCATCCACTGGGATCTTTCTACCACTTGAAATGTCCACCCCCTCCCAATCATGTCCACAGAACAATCTACCTGAAATACAGATGTTTTCACAAATAATGTTTGCAAAACAGAGGGATACAAACTCACACCAGAGAATTAGCTTTTTTATATGAACAAGTTTAGTCAACCATTTTGTGACTGGATTGTCAAAAAAAAAAAAAAAAGCAGGAACTTTCATTTTATTTTTATATATTTTTGCACAATATATAAAAGTGAACACCATTCTAGTGTATCCAGCTAGAGGAAAAGAAAGAGGCACACAGGTTTGGGGAGTTCTCCATATTCTTACATGACATATAAGGTTTATTTAAATGAGGGCCAAGGTAAGGGAGCCCTCATACTTTTCTTGAGGCCTACTATATGCTAGGCACTGTGTTGGGCACTTTGCATGGTCAAAACTTCCTTTTGGGGTATTGTTTTCATTCTTTTCCCTATTACCTAAATGTCCCCAGTTCCCCCAGTTAGGCAGCTTCACCCATTTCTTTGATGTCCAAATAAAATAACTCAAGACAACAACACATATGACTATGTCAAGCTCAGCATCCTCTCCAACATCTTAGAGGATACCCAAGCTGGATGTCCTCACATTCTCACATTCTCACGTTCTCCTGATGTGCACTGATCACCTCTCTTCCAGTCTAAGGTATTGGACTCATTTCTCTTGCTGAAAGCCCCAGCTCTCCACCCTCTGACTGGGCTCCCAAAGCACCACACACAACTCTGGTGGGACAGACTTGTTCTGGAAATAGCTAAAGCAGAGAGATGAACCCAAGAAACACCATTTAGCTCCAAAAGTGTTCATGCCGGGGTTTAAATCCTATAAAAGTTTAGGAAATAAAGGGAAGGGTAATGAGAACTCTGGTTTGGCTCCTACACCATTTGGGATTGGCCTCTTCCTCTGTTTACTGGCCTCACTCACTGGCCATGGCAGGATGGTCGATTCCTTTAGGATCTCTTCTCATCTGTGAAATGAGAGTGCTGGGTTCCATGGGGGTGTTTACATCCTCCGTTCTGAGATACTCAGGTGGTTTTTCACGTGTCTGATTAAAATTTGTTCCTGCTTTCCACTTCCTCATCCTTTCCCCTTGGGAAAAGATGGACTCAGCTACCTTCAGCATGGCTTTGGTTGAAGTTATATGAGTCCTGGAGCTCCCACCTACTATATCTGCCCTCCTGCCTCCCACCCCAAGAGATCCACTCTCAACACTAGGATTTGTTGTAGCCTTTTATTTGCAGGCAGGGAAAACCATTGAACTAGGTCATCTCTAAGGCAATATAATATAAATTTGAGATCATGGACGCCTAGGCTTACTACCTCCTGGATTCACTATCCCAGCTCTACAAAATGTTAGCCATGTGACCTTGGGCAAGTTATCCCATTTAATTAAGGCATCAGGGTCTGTCTTAATTGTTGCTGTTGTTGTTGTTTTAATCTGCAAAATGGGTGTAATAATAGCATCTACTCTCCAGGGTTGTGAGAATTAAATAAAATAAGGCATGTATAGTTCTTAGCATGTGTAAGTGCTCCATAAACATAGTCTGGATTTCATTATTATCATTATTGTTACCTTTGCCAGTTCAGGCATTCCATCTCTTTCTAGTCCCTTCCTGTTCCTATCTCTGATGGGGAAATCTGGTCTGGACCTCTTCACAGGGGTCTTCCCTGTCGCCCAGTCAACATCCCTTCTCTGTGTGATTCCAGGGGCTGTCATGATCCCAGGTGTCTCTCAGCTGACGGAGAAGGACCTCAGATATCGGCTGCAGGCGTCCAGGGCCAAGTCCATTATCACCAGTGACTCCCTGGCTCTGCGGGTGGGTGCCATTAGCGCTGACTGTCCCTCCCTCCAGTCCAAGCTACTGGTGTCAGACGGCAGTCGGCCAGGCTGAATGAACTTCAGGGAACTCCTCCAGTAAGTTGGGGCTCTCCAGAGAACAACATAAAGACGAGGCCAAGGCTTTTCCCCTTTAAGTCATAGGAGATGGAATGCATCACTGATTGTTCAGGAAGAGAGTAAACCAGAAAGGAGCACTCATTGGGGCCAGATGGACCTGAGACCTAATTCTGGTGACCACTTTAAGATCCTTCAAAGTCACTCGCTGAGGCAGTGACTAGCTACTAGAATCATCATTAGCTTTTCTGGGCGTCATTTACTTCAATAATGGTGGTGGTGGTTGCAGAGCTATTAGCCAGAGTAAACAAGATAACCCATAGGATGCATTTAGGACATAGTAGGTGATCAATTAGTAATATAATAATAGCTACCATGCATCGTGTGCTTAGTGTATGCCAGGCATAGTGCTAGATAAGCATTTATTTACATTCATTCATGCACCAAGGTGTAATGAACATCTATTTTGTTATAAGCATTGTGTTCGGTGCTCAGAGCCCAATAATGAATCAGACTTCGTCTTATTTAATCCTTGGAAAAAACCCTATGAAATGCACTTTAACCCAATTTTACAGGTGAAGAACTGATAAGTAAAGTGACTTATGCAAGATGCTAACAAGTAGTTACATCAGATTGGGACAGAACCAAAAGCCCTTTGCTTTGAGCAATACCATGGTGGAAGCCTACCTGGGAATTTGAGATTTTGTCTTGATCAGAAGCAGAAGCAAAAAGGGGCCCTGTCAGGGGCCTGCACCATTAAGTCACAAATGCCCATCCCACAGACCAGCTGTCTCACATTCACCTGGGTGTTGTTCTACTTTGTTTTATTTATTTATTTTTTACTAATATCAACATTTGTCTCTTATCAGTAGCTTCATTTGAAAAAGAACTATGTGCCACATTCTCTTAAATGTGTCACAGTTTTTAGGATAAGACCCACAAGCATGCATTATAAATAATGTATCCTGTATTTTCCAAAATATTGTGTTTCCAACATGTGGCTTTTTAAAAATCCTATATTATTATATTTCAATGTAGTGATTAGCAGCAGAAACTGAAACAGAAGGTACTTAACATGTGTAGGTAATAAAGTTAAGTACAAAAGATATATTTCTAAGTTTGCGGACATGGTAGTCTTCAGATTGTTCTTGCCTACCCTAGAATGCAAACTTTCTACCCTAAGATTATGGAAAATTCTCTTTTTAAAATTTTATTTAGCTATTTATCTTCGGGTGCTGTTTTAAATTCAGGTTCTAAGGCCCCCCCATCTGACTTATGTAACCAGACATATCTGAGCTAAGGCCCTGGGACTCTGTGTTGTAAGAGATCTGCCCAGATGATTTCTGTGAGCTGTCAGGTTGGCCTAGACCAGTGATTCTCAATTTCGCCTGTCATCAGAATTAACTGAGGAGCTTTAAAAAAAAAAAACCACAAAAAAAAAACCACAGGGGCACCCGGGTGGCTCAGTCAGTTAAGCATCCAACTCTTGATTTCAGCTCAGGTCATGATCTCAGGGGTCATGGGACAGAGCCCTGTGTTGCATTCTGCGCTGGGCATGGAGCCTGCTTAACATTCTCTCTCTCCCTCTCCCCCTACCACCTCCCCCTGCCACCGCCCTTCAAGTGTTCACGCGCACTCTGTCTCAAAAACAAAAAGCAAAAAACAAAACCACAAAAAAACCCCCAATGCCTAGGCCCACCATTGAAGATTCTGGTTTTTCTCCAGGGTGGGGCCCAAGCAATGGTATTTCTTTTAAAACCTCACCTGGTGCTCCTATGGTGTAGCCAGGGTTGAGAACCAGTCGGTGAGAAGATTCTCCAGATCACAGAACTTCAGGAATTATGCAGATCTCAAATCTCTGAATTTAGGGAATCCTTCAGCCCTAAACTATTGGGAATTGAGGTGGGCGTGAGGCTGTGCCCCATTGTGCAGAAGCATAGGCACGGAAACGTGCGTGTTCCACCAGAAAGTCCTCTGCCCTGCTGGAGGAGCACAGGCTCTTTTGAGTGAGTCACTGCACCAATTTTGAGCCTCCATTTCCTTATTTACAAAGGCTTCTAATGAGAGTAGTACCTATGCTGGGAGGTCATCGTAGGGCCCAGAGATGCAAGCTGGAGCTTCCAGCACAGTGCCTCACATGGAGTATTTATTAAAATGGTGGCCAGTATTGTTATAGATATTATTATTATGACTATTTTTACTACTTGTAATGCTACCGAGGATTTTTATATTTTACAGTGAGGCATCCACAGAGCACAACTGTGTGAGGACCAAGAGTCAAGACCCTCTGGCCATCTACTTCACAAGTGGCACCACCGGGGCCCCCAAGATGGTTGAGCACTCCCAGGCCAGCTACGGACTGGGTTTTCTGGCCAGTGGAAGGTACCAGGGGACAGTTCATCTGCTGGGTCCAAGGAAAGAAAGTAGGGAGTGAGCTGGAGGAATGTGAGTAAGGTGCACAGTGGCAAGAGTGAGGTCAGAGAGCTAACAAAGTGGCAAGTCCGGTAGAATCTGAAGGCTTTGGGCTTTGCTTTGAGAGAGGTGAGAAGCCATTGGAGGTTTTTTGTTTCCATTTTTGTTTTTAATTGTGGTAAAAGATACTTCACATAAAATTAACCATTTTTAAGTGTAGACTTCAGTGTCATTAAGGACATTCACGTCGTGCAGTCATCCCCACCGTCCATCTCGGGAACGTTTCCATTTTGCAAATCTGAATCCACATTACCCAATACACATTACACAATAATTCCCCATTCCCTCCCTGCTCCCCCCTGACAACCGCCATTCTACTTTCTGTCTCTGTGAACTTGACTACTCTGGGAACTGCCTATAGGGGGAATTATACAGTATTTTCCCTTTGATGTCTGACTCATTTCACTTAGCATAATGTCCTCAAGTTTCATCCACGTTGTAGCAGGTGTCAGAATTTCCTTCCTTGTTAAGGCTCAACAATATTACCATGTGTGTGACATACCAGTGTTGTTTACCCAGTCACCCACAGATGGACACTTGGGGTGCTCCCCAACTTTTCGGCTGTTGTGACTAGTCCTGCTCTTAACATGGGTATATAAGCATGTCTTTCCAAAACTCTGCCTTCAGTTCTTTTGAGCATATACCCAGAAGTGGCATTGCTGGATTGTACGGTGATTCTATGTTTAATTTTCTGAGGAACACTGGAGTATTTTGAGCAGAGGATTGACGTGATCTGATTTTTTTTTTTTTTTTTAAAGGATCTCGCAGGAGTTTAGGTTGAGAATAAACTGTAGGGGGCAAGAGGTGAAGCAGAGGCCCACCTCAGAGAACAGTCACGTTAAGAGGCAAAGGTGGAGGCTTCCCCGGGGTGGGGAGTGAGAGGAGCTAAGATTCTGAATGTATTGTGAACGTAGGCCTGATAAGGTCTCCTGACAGATTTGACATGAAGCAAGAGAGAAAGTGAAGAGTCAGGGATGACGCCAGGTTTTATGGCCTGAACAACCAGAAGCATTAACTGATAGCAGGAAGACTGGGATGAGCTGTCTGGTGGGAGGAACATGAGGAGTCTGTGTTTGGCGTTCTGAGTTTGAGATGCTTAGTAGACATCTCCATACCCTGAGTTAAGAATGGAGATACTGGGGAGGCAGTTGGAGAGATTCATGTGTAGAGTAGTGGGAAAGATTCATGCTGGAATTATCAGCAAGGTGGTCCTTAATGCCATGAGATTGGATGAGATCGGTGAAGAAGTAATGGACACCGAGAAGAGAAGAGGCCTCAGCGCTGAATGCCTGAGGCCTTTCCACAATGAAGGGAGAAGCAAGGAAAACTCAGAGGAGAAGACCAAGAAGGAGCAGCCATTGAGTAGGTTGAGGACCAGGAGACCGTGTGTCCCAGAATCCAAGTGCAGAACATGATCACTTTTCTATGCTCACAAGCACTGCTTCCCCTTCCTGGGATGTCCTTCCTTCTCAGCCTCCCCCGGGTAGCTCCTATGCATCATTACATCTCACACAGACCTCACCTCCTCTGGGGAAGCATTTCTCAGACCCCATCTCCAACTTTTCTCTGGGTTAGGTGCCCGTTCTCTGTAATTGCATAAAGCTCTGTGTTGAACTCTACGAAAGCTTGCTCTCCACAGGCCTCCTGGATGTTGATACTTACTAACCTATAAGCCCCCCAAAGCAACACTAATCATTCTTTCCTAGACTCTGATGACAAGTCCAGAATAAGTGTTGAATAAAGAATGTGCCCTCATCACATTGTATGGAGCTGATGTATTCCCTTATAGATCACTCCCACTAGACTGTGAACTCTTAAAAGCATGGGAGCTGTCTTTTTAATTCTATATCCTTCACCTAGGGCATAAATACCTAGAATATGTTCAATAAATGCTTGTTGAGACAAAGATTGACTTTATGGTTCTTGTACAGATTTGATAACTATAAGTGAGTACCCACTATGGGCAAGGTTCCAAATAAAGTAACATCGGTAATGTAATCCTTTTTAAAGGTAGAAGCATTGCTGAGGGTTCTGACTTTCTTTAATTTTTTGGCAGACGGTGGGTGGACTTGACCAAATCGGACATCTTCTGGAACCCGTCTGACACTGGCTGGGTAAAGGCAGCTTGGACCCTCTTCTCTGCCTGGTCTAATGGATCTTGCATTTTTGTGCATGAGCTGCCCCGAGTCGATGCCAAGATTATTCTGAATGTAAGAAACAACATGGCTTATGTGTTGGATGTAAATGAGATGAATAGAATATAGTTTTTGAATTTGCAGGAGAAAAGGCATGGATAAGTGACCATAAGGCTTCTTTAGTGTGGATATTAAAAAAATGGCTCCCAGGACGTTCAGTAATCTGATTCCTGCCTACCTGTCTACCTTCAATTATTGCCTATCCTCTAACTAGATCCCTAGACACAAGACCATTTCATATCTCTAAACATCTGCATAATCTATTTTTTCTGCATTGGGTACCTCTCCTTCCACCACTTTCTTCCCTATGCTCCTGTTAAAACCGTAGTTATTTTTCAAAACTTTGGGGAAAATCATAATCAGAGTGGGTTCTTAACACATACTGATTATTATTGCCACTGTCAAGCTCACCATCATCATTATTCAACTGAGGGCTTTATCAGCCAGTGTGTGCCTTGTCCCTCTACTGGTCCCCCGCCCTTACATGGTGTATTAGTTATCTATGGTAGTCAGTTACCCCAAAACCTAACAGCTTAAAACAAACATTTATCATCTCAGTGTCCGGTGGTCAGGAGGCTGGGAGCAGCTTAATAGCTGGTTCTGAATTAGGACCTCTCATGAGGTTGTAGTCAAGATGTCAGCTAGGTATATCCATGTTCAGAGCAGCATTATTACTAATAGCCCAAAGGTGGAAGCAACCCAAGTCCCATCGGCAGATAAATGAATAAACAAGATATGGTACATACATACAATGGAATATTATTCAGCCTTTATTTTTTTAAATTTAATTTTATTATGTTATGTTAATCACCATACATCGTTAGTTTTTGATGTAGTGTTCCACGCTTCATTGTTTTCGTATAACACCCAGTGCTCCATGCAGTACCTGCCCTCCTTAATACCCATCACTGGGCTAACCCATCTCCCCACCCCCCTCCCCTCTAACACCCTCAGTTTGTTTCTCAGAGTC